GGTCATGAGTTCGAGACCAGCTGGGTCAACATGGTGAAACCCTGTCTACTAAAAAAATACAAAACTTAGCTGGGCATGGTGGTGTGGCCTGTAATCCCAGCTACTAGGAAGGCTGAGGCAGGAGAATTGCTTGAACCCAGGAGGTGGAGGTTGCAGTGAGCCGAGATCACGCCACTGCACTCCAGCCTGGGTGACAGAGCAAGACTTCGTCTCAAAAAAAAAAAGAATATTCATGGCCAGGCACAGTGCCTCACACCTGTAATCCCAGAACTTTGGGAGGCCAAGGTGGGAGTACTGCTTTAGCTCAGGAGTTCAAAACCAGCCTGGGCAACATGGCAAAACCCTGTCTCTACAAAAAATACAAAAATTAGCTGGGTGTGGTGGCACATGCTTATAGTCCCAGCTACTCGGGAGGCTGAGGTAGGAGGATCACTTGAGCCTGGGAGGTCAGGGCTGCAATGAACCAAGATCGTGCTACTGTACTCCAGCCTGGGCAACAGAGTAAGACTCTGTCTCAAAAAAAAAAAAAAAAAAAAAAAATTCAAAATTCGTGGGAGGAGGTCAAAATATAAACATTAACAGGAGTCTAAAGTTGATTCCAATCCTCCTGAATGATTTTGAGGGGTTCGAGGCTTCAGTGAAAGAAGTAACTGTTGATGTGGTAGAAACAGCAAGAGAACTGTAATTAGAAGTGGAGCCTGAGATGTGACTGGATTGCTGCAATTTCATGTAAAACTTTAACAGATGAAGAGTTGCTTCTTATAGAAGGCAAAGAATGTGATTTCTTGAAATGGAACCTACCTCCAGTGAAAATGCTATGAACATTAGAATATTATGTAAACTTAGTTCATAAAATAGTGGCAGGACTTGAGAGAACGAACTCCAATTCTGAAAGAAGCTCTACTCTAGGTAAAACGCTATCAAACAGAAAAGCATGCTACAGAGAAATCTTTCAGGAAAGGAAGAGTCAAGTGAAGCAACAAACTCCACTGCTGCCTTATTTTAAGAAATTGCCAGCCAGGCCCAGTGGCTCACGCCAGTAATCTCAGCACTTGGGGAGTCCAGGGCGAGAGGATCACTTGAGCCCAGGAGTTTGAGACCTCAAGATCAGTCTGGGCAACACAGCAGACCCTGTCTATACAAAAAAATATAGACAAAAATTAGCTGGGTGTGGTGGCATGTGTCTGCAGTCCCAGCTACTTGGGAGGGTGAGGTAGGAGGATGGCTTGAACCTGGGAGGCAGAGGTTGCAATCAGCCGAGATCATGACACTGTACTCCAGCCTGGGTGACAGAGTGAGACTCTCTCCCAAAAGAAAAAAAAAAAAAAAAAAAAAAACAGGCCAGATGCGGTGGCTCACGCCTGTAATCCCAGCACTTTGGGAGACTGTAATCCCAGCACTTTGGGAGACCGAGGTGGGTGGATTACTTGACGTCAGGAGTTTAAGACCAGCCTGGCCAACATGGTGAAACCCGTCTCTACTAAAAATACAAAAATTAGCTGGGTGTGGGGGACCGGGGAGGGAGGGTTGCAGGGGGCTGCAATCCCAGCTACTCGGGAAGCTGAGGCAGGAGAACTGCTTGAGCCCAGGAGGCATAGGTTGCAGTGAGCTGAGATCACGCCACTGCACTCCAGCCTGGGCAACAGGAGTAAAACTCATCTCAAAAACAAAACAGAAAAACACACACACAGAAATTGCCAAAGCCACCCCAATCTTCGGCAACTACCACCCTAATCAGTCAGCAGCCATCATCATCAAGTCAAGACCCTCAAGCAGCAAAAGCTTATGACTTGCTGAAAGTTCAGATGGTAATTAGCATTTTTACCAATAAGATATTTTAAAATTAAGATATGTACATTTTTTAGACATAATGCTGTTGCACATTTAATAGACTACACTATAGCACAAACATAACTTCTATTTGCACTGGGAAACCAACAAATTTGTGTGACTCTCTTTATTATGATGTTAGTTTTATTGTATTTTGCTCTAGTGGCAGCACTATCACAAGCATTTTATGTTCCAGTACTGCTCAGGTATTTGTTGAGGTTAGTTCTAGGTTTCTTCATTTAAATGAGCTAAGGTTTGTAAGATGTTGTATTTTAAATGATGATGAGAGATAAAGAGAAAGGAAGAATATTAATAAAAATAAATGGATGGATGAGGGACACGGGGGTAGGATTTATTTACTAACAGACAATTTGGTTTTTATGTTTACACAGATGGACCTTAGGACTTATGCCATTATCAATCACAATAGCTAAAAAGCATTTCTAGCCTTAAGAAAGCTTATACTCTCCAAAATAAAAACCAATCTAAAATTGAAAATTTCACAAGAAGAACTGGTCTGAAAATTAAAAGACCTATGTTTGTGTACTGGCCGCTTGCTGCCTACTAGCTGGTGGCCCTGGGTCAGTCACTCTACTAAGCCACTCCAGCAATGATGCATACTGAACACATTCCAAAGGGGTCTGGTGGTTTGGTAGGGAAGTCCTACACTTCACTACTTGAAGATGCAATAAATGAATGAATACAAGGGAAGGCAAAGTGACTAGAGAGAACAGAAGGTTCAATAGTCTCTGTTTAAACTCATCTAAAGTTTTTATATAGTCATGCAAGAAAGGACTACGCTTAGTGCCTGAAACCTTATTACTTACACACATAGCTGGGTACCAGCTGGTCATATTTACTGGCAGGCTACTGAATAGTCTTCACTACTATAATACAAGAATGAATAACATAGCTCTACTTCCCCAACTCTGATTAATGCCAAGTTTGACGTTTGAGGGTACATCTGTCTTAAGAAGAAGCTGCTTTTCAAAGTGCCTACTGGAAAACCATGCTTCCTAAAAGACTTAGGCTTGGAAGTGGCTGCACACTGCTCTCCCTAAAGATCTGTTCACAAGGACACATTTTCAAACTGGCAGAAGAGCCACTTTTCCTTCAAAAACAAAACTATTTTTCTATTTAGTATCTAGTATAATATAATCTTTGAAACAGGAGCCAGATCATAATATAGTTGTACTATAACTAGAAAAAAAATGAAGGCACAGCAACTGGTATAAACAATGAAAGTGATGGGAAGGCGTGAACAGAACATTTGAAAACTTATTTCTGTGGAACAGAAAATGATACATAACATCTTACTTCACACACATTCTTCCTCATCCTTTGAATGCTCAAACTTAAACTATCTCTGCATATATGACACCAATAAAACAAAAGCAGTATTTTGTATGATGGAGAAAAAAGATCAAGTATTTAGTGAAGTATTCTAAAGCAAGGAAGGGTCTAAAAACTATAGCTCACAGGCCACATCTGGCCTACAGCCTGTTTTTAGAAACAGTTTCACTGGAAGGCATCAACCCTAATTATTTATGTATTTATTTATTTTTAGATGAAGCCTCGGTCTGTCATACAGGCTGGAGTATAACAGCACGATCTTGGCTCACTGCAACCTCCACCTCCTGGGTTCAAGCGATTCTCTCACCTCAGCCTCCTAAGCAGCTGGAATTACAGGCACCTGCCATCACACCCAGTTAATTTTTGTATTTCTGAAGAGACAGGTTTCACCATGTTGACCAGGCTGGTCTTCAATTCCTGACCTTAAGTGATCTGCCCACCTCGGCCTCCCAAAATGCTGGGATTACAGGCGTGAGCCACCATGCCCAGCCCCTAATTAGTTTATATTGTCTATGGCTGCTCTCATGCTAAACAGTAGAGTTGAAGAGTTACAACAAAAATCATACAGCTGCAGAGCTTAAAATATCTGGACCTTTAAGGAAAAAGGTTCAGCCACATGTGGTAGCTCATGCCTCTAATCCCAGCACTCTGGGAGGCCAAGGCGGGAGGATCACTTGAACCCAGGAGTTTGAGATCAGCCTGGGCAACATAGTGAGACCCCCATCTCAACAGAAAATAAAAAATAAAAAATTAGCCAGGTATGGTGGCTCACACCTATAGTCCCAGCTACTCAGGAGGCTGAGGTAGGAGGATTGCTTGAGCCTGGGAGGTCAAGCCTGCAGAGAGCTATGATTGCGCCACCGCCGCACTCCAGCCTGAGCAGCAGAGCAAGACCCTGTCTCAAAAAAACAAAAAAAAAAAAGAAAAAGAAAAAGTTTCAGATAATATTCTGATCTTGTTTTAAAGCATTGTTAAGTGTTTTGTTTATCCCTGATTTACTGATGGGGAAACTGACACCAGAGGTTGAGAAGCTGGTCCTAGATCACACAACTGTTATTTAGCTCCCCTGCCTCCCTCACCTGTTCATCCTCAATTAGAACTAACCTGGGCCAGACCTGCTCTGCTGCATAGAAGAATCTGTTAGTCTCTCTGACCCTCCAGCCTAACGAGTAAATAAATCCTTGTAGGAAGAATGATGAGTAACTGGTTTTTCAGGCCTCGATCCCAAAAAGGAATTGTGACATGAGCTAGAGACAGAAAGAGTGCCTGTAGCCTAAGTTAAGTTGTATTCTAAAACAAAGCATCATTTTCTTACTAGGTCCTTTCTGAGATTCACAAATAGCCTCTTGCCCAGTTTCTGGCAGTATCTTGTGTTTGTGTGTCCAGCAGAGATAAGCAGTGTAATTCTGAAGAATGTTTCGAAGATGCCAACTTACGGGCTTTGGAGTTCATAAAAAAATGCCACATACATCATCCTCAATTGAGCCTTATTTAGCTCAGTGATACATTTATCAATATTATTCCAATTTTATAGATAAGGTTGATGGTTAGGTATCAAGTTACTTGCTCAAGATCACAATACAATAAGTGATAGAGTCAAAATGCAAAAGCTCTAAAATTCTGTCTTAATTTATTATAACTTGCTCATTCCCACTTTTTGCACTATTTAAGCTCTGTCACTCTTTTTTCTTTTCTGTTTTATCCTTCCCCTTTGCATGTCTCTAGGCGGGTTAGCAGCACCTTTGAATACTCAGCTGTGAACAGTTGGGGGCACTAAAGCACAAGGTAAACACATAAATAAATAAAACGTATTGGACCTGGGGGTTCTTAGCTCTCTGGTGAACTGTGATCTTGAGCAAATTTCTTAACTTCTTAGAAACTTCTCTATCATCTACAGCAATATCCCACAGGGCAGCTGAAACACACAAATGGTAAAACACATGTTAGAAGGCCTCAAAAAATAGCAAGATTCATACAAATGCCAGATGGCATCATATCATCATGACTGCTCGAAGCTGGACAAGACACCAACTACTGGTCTGAAGAGTCCCAGATATGGTACCAAGACTAAAGACCAACTAGCTTCTTTTTCTCTATAATTTAGACTACTTACTTTGTTTTTAACCTATTTCTTTAAAAAGCCTAGTTTCAGATGCATGGAAATACATATTAAAATAGAGAAAGATGCTCTCCTATCTCTTTTATAAACACAAAATAATTTTTAAAGCCCTTTAAACTATTAAATTTGGAACAAATGTACTAGTTCCAAAAAAGCAAAGAACTCAAGCTGAAAATGGGAATGAGCCAAATTTAAATCCCTGGGAGTGTCAATGATCAACAGCTATACTAGGTTTTCTCTCCACACTAATCCAAAAACATATTAAAAATTTTTTTAATTTTTACTTATTTATTTTTTATTATTTACTTATTTTGAGATGGAGTCTCCCTCCATTCCCCAGGCTGGAATGCAGTAGCACGATCTTGGCTCACTGCAAGCTCCGCCTCCTGGGTCCACACCATTCTCCTGCCTCAGCCTCCAGAGGAGATGGGACCACAGGCGCCCACCACCACGCCTGGCTAATTTTTTTGTATTTTTAGTAGAGACAGGGTTTTACTGTGTTAGCCAGGATGGTCTCGGTCTCCTGACCTCATGATCCGTCCGCCTCGGCCTCCCAAAGTGCTGGGAGTACAGGCATGAGCCACCGCGCCCAGCCTTAAATTCTTAGAATATGTCTCCTTGGGCTGGGAATGGTGGCTCATGCCTGTAATCTCAGCACTTTGGAGGTCGAAGCAGGAGGATCGCTTGAGCCCAGGAGTTCAAGATCAGCCCGGGAAACATAGCAAGACCTTGACTCTACAAAAAAGAAAAAACAAAAACAAAAACAAAAATTAGTCTGTGTGGTGGCACACATCTGTAGCTCCTGCTACTCAGGAGGCTGGGGCAAGAGGATCACTTGACCCGAGGAGCTGGGAGACTGCAATGAGCCATGATCGCACCACTGCACTTCAGCCTGGGCAACAGAGTGAGACCCTATCTCAAAAAAAAACAAAAAAGCCCCACAACCACCACCATCTCCTTGGATACCTCAGAATTCCACAAGCTAGGAGTATGTGCCTGTTTTGTCTTGTGAAAGGAATCTTGTTTATGTTAGAGGGTAGAGGGAACCTGGAGTCCAGGCAGCTCCCCACTCAACCTGGCCCCATCGTCCAAGCAAAAGATTCTGTTTGGAGCTCTAAAGAGAGCTCCACCCACTTCCCTCTATATCCAATATCCTGAAGTGAACATGAAGGAAACATGTTCTGGAAAACCGGAATTTCTCAGACTATTTCATGGATTGAAACCAATGTTTAAGGCTCTTCTGCAACAGCACTGATAAGAAGCTTGCCTTTACAGTACAACTGTAAAGAAATTCAATACTGTCTACACATTCACTCATCAGTGATGACTATTTTTTTTTTCTCCCCAAGAAACCATTCCCGGCACACAATCAAATCTATTTCTCTAATTAGCATATTCACTTGCTTCAGACTTGTGTAACATATTCTTTTTTAAGGGGCATATTATTTTTTAAGCTTAAAATTTTCATGTTCCTATTTTTTCCCCAGTTTGTCTTACATAATCATTTTGTTTCTGACACATCCTCAATGCAAACGTGCTTTGCACATAGTGGGGATTCAATCCACATTTACTGAATGAAAAACACAGGTTCCTCAAGAACTTTAAAAAAAATTTTTTTTAACAGTGTCTTGCTCTGTTGCCCAGGCTGGAGTGCAGTGGCATGATCATGGTTCACTGAAGCCTCAACCTCCTGGGTTCAAGCGATCCTCCCCTGCTCAGCCTCCTGAGTAGCAGGGACTACAGGTGCTTGCCACCATACCTGGCTAATTTTTAAAATTTTCTGTAAAGACAGGGTCTTGCTATCTTGCCCAGGCTGGTCTCAAACTCCTGGCCTCAAGTGATCCTCTCACGTTGGCCTGCCAAACTGCTGGAATTACAGACGTGAGCCACCATGCATGGACAAGAACTATTTTAAGACCCCAAGTATCCTTGGCCTCATTCTAGGTGCTTTTCTTTTAAACTGGCAAATGGGAAAATTCCTTAAGTACCTATGCTCAGTTGTGCAGTAACCTTTGTGCAGTAATCCAATGGAAGAGCCACAAGAGTGGGGATGGAGAAAAACTTGTTCTACTTTGGAAAATGTAGCACAAATGTAGACAATTATCTAATCATAAGCTCCACTGAAAAACAGAAGATTGTGCTGGTGAGTTAATACATCTGAAAACCAGGGGGGTGGGGGGACAGGAGAAGGCAGAAAATTGTCAATTAAAAACCTAGAGGGCGTTATAAGAATGTCAATATGAGCTTGGCTGTATTGATTTGGCTGTCTGGATTCTGCTCATTCAGACACACTGTGAATTATTCCCTCTGCTTAGTGTCTTTTATCATTGATTTAAATGTTTAAAAGAGGAGAAGAAAGAAAGGAAAAGGACATGAAACGAGACAAATCTTCCAAGCCAACCAAATCCTAAATCTCTTACCTTCATGTATACAGCTGTCAGGAACTGAGAACATAAAGATCACTTCAAAGAGTGCAAAGTGACTGAGATAGTTATGCTAATCTCTTACATTTGTACATACTTTATACTTTTTAAAGTAGTTTCACATTATTTTATGTGTTTTTCACCATAAACACGTAAGATAAGCAACACAGGTTCAAATATTCCCATCTGACAAATAAAGATACTTTATTCAGGTAGACTGAGGAACTTAGCAGAAGTCACCAGGATAAGTATATGCCACAGCTGAAATTAAAATCCATGTCTTCTGATTCTCAATTCTGTGCTCTTTCATTAAATCATCTCCTTCTACTTTAGAATTGATAACAATAGAAAACTCAAAACTTAAGAACCTACAGCTTTTCTCAGCCTGGAACACAAATCCACCAGGCCTTTTTACCTTTAGTTTTCCTGATCACTCTCCTGAAAAAAGTACTCCAAAAAAAATCAAGATACCAGATTCTTACACATTTCAAAGTAGAAAGCTTAAACAAGAAAGCTTAAGGTTTTCAAGCTTGTTAAACTGCAGTTGCATCAGAGGAGTGGGACTAGGCCATCTAGTTACCAAACAAGAGTGGAGATAGAAAGGATCAAGTTCACTTTCTGGGGGCCTGGTGATGGGAAGTCACTCTATTCTTTCACTATAATTCAGAAGAAGAGCCTTAGCCCAGCCCCCTTTATTGGAGATGTTTTCATAGCTACCCACTTATATGAGGAATCACCTGGCTAAATTCTATGCAGTGTTTCAAAATTATAGCTATCGCTACATTGTGAACATGGTGATAAAGTTATCTTATTCAGCCATTCCTCCAAGAAATCAGAATTCCTTTGTTCCACCTCACTAGGGGTAAGCAAGGATTATAAATCATAGCTAGGAAATTTAAAGCAACTGATTATTTAACAACACCACGGGCCAGGCGCGGTGGTTCACCCCTGTAATCCCAGCACTTTGGGAGGCCAAGGCGGGCAGATCACGAGGTCATAAGATCAAGACTATCTGTCCAATATGGTGAAACTCCATTTTCTAGTAAATACAAAAATTAGCTGGGCATGGTGGTGGGCACCTGTAGTCCCAGCTACTCAGGAGGCTGCGACAGAAGAATAGCTTGAACCCGGGAGGCCGAGGTTGCAGTGAGCCAAGATCGCGCCACCGCACTCCAGCCAGGCGACAGAGCGAGAGACTCCGTCTCAAAAAGAAAAAAAAGAACACAATGATTCATCTAAAAATATTGATCTCTGTGGCTCAAGATGAGAACCCAAATTTGGGAGCTGCCTCAATACATACCACAAAGTGTGTACTTGCATAGCTAAGGAACACCACAGAACACCTAATACAATTCTAACCACATATCTATTTGGAAAAAAATTCTTCAACTACTTATCTAACCTTAGTGAATTTAGGATTCATTAAAGACGATTTCCCAAAAACACTAGTAGTGCTCAATTGTATCTATCTACTTGTACTACGCTTTGTTCCAAAAAGTGACTGTGTTCACCTATTTTGACAAACACTTTAAAGGTAATTCAATTTGACTGTATGTTTGCTCCCTTTATGATTAGCCTGATAAGTAGTCTATAATATGAGAGTCGATGAGAACTCTGGGAAAGTTCTGTGCCTTTCAAGGGAGAAGCAAGTATAGAAAAAGGGAAGGTAGGAGGAAAAATTAGTCCCCTAAGATGGACACAGCTATAGACTCTTTTTCATATACAGTAAGAAATTGCAGGCGTGGTGGCGGGCGCCTGTAGTCCCAGCTACTTGGGAGACTGAGGCGGGAGAATGGCATGAACCCGGGAGGCGGAGCTTGCAGTGAGCCCAGATCACGCCACTGCACTCCAGCCTGGGAGACACAGCGAGACTCCATCTCAAAAAAAAAAAAAAAAAGAAAGTGCAGTATAAACAGCAAAAGCCTCTGTCATTAGGCTCTGTCTTCCATTTTGTCACCCTCAAAATGGGGGATGATAATCATCTATCCTACTTACATTAGGTAAATACCAAATAAGAGAATGAGTATGAAATCACTTCACTAACTATAAAGTACTATGCTTCATATAAACACCGCATACTATTACATTGCTTAACCACCTTTAAGGGGAGCTTCATGGGCATCTGGACAATGAATTTCCAAGAGGAAAATAATCATGGAGTTCAGATTATAAAAAATGAGGTAAAATGGCTGGAAATTTACCACTATTTCTCTAGTGAAAAGTTTCTTATTGCCTTTATTTTAGATTAAGGATAATTACAACATACGCAGCCTAGAAACTAAATATAGGTGCCTTATATTAAAAATTCTGCTAAATCCTACAGATGAGGCTAGTCCCATTCCTGGTAATTAATTTTGTGTGCTGCTCATTGGT